TAAAAATATAACATCTTCATATGGTCCTAAATTCAAACAGGATGCTAGTGTAGGTAGGACGCTGATTACTCCAGCTCCCACTCCTCCCCTAAGGCTCCTTCCATGCAGGCCCTACCCCCCAGGGGAGATAATAAGATGCTGGTGAAAGTAGAACCCTGACTCCTCCAGCCAAGGCCATCTCTATGGAGATAAATTTATGGATAAATGGGTACACCCTGCATTTGAACTGATTTCCCAGGCAGGTTATTGCTTTGTATGTAGTTCAATATGGAGTTAAAGAGGACTCTGTTAGAGTGAGATGTCATGTCCGAGAAAACAACTAATTGACCCAAACCTCAATCTTGACACAGTCTGAAGCATATGGATCTTAAACTAGCATAAACTCTACACACAAGGTAAAGTCATTTAAAATATTTATTAATGCAGCAAGGATACAAAATAGTATCTGGTGAACGTAAGTTGTTCTGTACCGAAGCTCCAACTTCTACACAAAACATTAGTGATCAAAATTTTAATCAATGCAAATTACCTATAACTTATTAATGGCTTAAGATGGATGTTGAAATATTATGATATGAAGATCAGTGTATCGGAAAATGAATTAATTGGCGATCAGGGGACATGAGCTGCATTATGAAACTCCTTTAACTAATTCGTGCAGTCTTCAGTTAAAGTAACCAGCTGAAAAGGTGTTTAGCATATAATCACTAAAAAAAAAAATGAACTCATTAAAAAATAAAATGACCTGACTCCTTTCTCATCAGATGTCAATCACTCAAATCTCTCATTTCCATCACTTGCATAATTATGTAACATAACCTTAGTGAAAAAATTGAAACTAAAAAAAAAATTGACTTGTATTAGTTAGGGGTAAGATTTTTCAAAGCCCGACACTCCATTATGCATAATTTTATAGTTAATTCTTAGATAAGGGAAACAATGGCGAATACACTTGATTAACGACTACGGCTTTGTTTAATAACGGTATGGCGTTATGCAGAAATTTTCTAATTTTAGCACAACACTGGAAGAACTCTCCAACCAAACGGGGAATGGTTACTAAAGGTTCTAAAAATTGCTAAACTATAATATAAACAATCTAGACAGTACTACGAAAAATGTTTTCGTAAAAAAAATCCACCTTTAACTTTTCTGGACTTAAACAGCTTTAGTAAGTTGACAGCTTGAAGTACCTCTAGTGTTCCTTTGAAATAAACGGTAAATATTTGGTCTGCAGTCATGCGTTTTATTGAATTTTGTAAGTCGGTATAAACTCGCCAAAGATCTGAAAATCTAGGTCAAGCAAATTGTTTGGAAGATCACACAAGGTCGAAGCGAGTGTAACTAATGCACGTCGAAAACCCTTTAGTTATGTTCCTTGCTTCACTTTGCAAGGGTGCGTTAAACATTAATTTCATCAAACGAGTGTCTTACATAAAGGACAAAAATTACATCATGCCAGCGTCAACATAAGAGCTACTCACCAGAAATATGAACGAAGTCGTTGTCGTTTAGAACTTCGTAAATTGAATCACTGGGATGCAAACTTCCTCCATTTTGAGCTAAAACAGCCTCGAAATCTTTACCATATTTTTCTGAGTCGTTTGTGTCGCTCGCCCGACGAAGTATCTCCTCGATAAGCCACTGAATTGGAGCTTTACCTTCCCCGCATGGAACAACAAACCATTTTCCTTTAAAACGAGCTAACACTCTCATAATTTCCCTGTTTTTCACTGCTCCGTTCTCGACTGTAATTTCGATTCGTGCGGGTTGTTTCCGATGATGAGGTTAAGGTCAATGGTACTGCGGGCGAATTGCAAAAGAAATGATGGCATCAAAAGAGCACAAGAGATAAAATTCTTGTTCGTTCAGTTCATGCAGTTATCATAACGAATTAACATCGTACGACAACTCACAGGCGGCATAGCGTAAAATATCGACTGGACTGGACTGGACTGGACTAGACTATTTTTTGGACGATTTTTTTGGACTATTTTTTGGACGATTTTACAAGAGGGGAGGCACACCTTTAGTACTCAGGGAGGGGTGGGTGCAGTCGACAAGTACTGAGGGAGGGGTGGGGGAAGAGTGTTATTACTCAGGGAGGGGTGGTAGGTGGTTGTAATTGTAAACACTACTGGTTAATGGAGCTTTTACTCGATCGTAATAATTATTTTAATCGGTTTTTCGACTGACTTCTCCTACATCAACATTTTGCGCTGGGCCGC